CAGCCCAGACGAGACTGGAAGCCCAGGTTCGGGACCAGCAAGAGCAGCTCCTGCAGATGGGGAACCGCCCTGCAGGAGGTGATTACCACACTCCGAGGCTGGGGTTCGCCTCCACCGCCGCCCGCCCTGCCAGCACCATCGGCCAGCCCGCCCATTCCAGCGCCGGAACCTCGAGGAGTCCGACTATCTCTCCCGAGGGCCTACGACGGGGACCGCGGCTGGGTGTCAGGGATTCCTGCTCCAGGTAGAGCTATACCTGGCCACCGTGCACCCGGCACCTTCAGGGCACGAGAGCGTGTCCGCCCTGATCTCCTGCCTGGCCGGAAAAAAGCGTTGGAGTGGGCCAACGCGGAGTGGAGGAAGATCGACGCCACGACGATTACGTACACCGAGTTCTCCCGCCGCTTCAGGGCGGTGTTTGACCATCCCCCGGAGGGGAAAGCGGCGGGGGGAGCGTCTGGTCTTCCTCCAGCAGGGGAGGAGAAGTGCCCAGGAATTCACGCTCGAATTCCATACTCTAGCGGCAGATGCAGGGTGGAATGATCGGGGCCCTCATCGATCTATACCGATGCAGCCTACGAGAGGACGTCCGTCGGGAGCTGGCTTGTAGGGACACCAGCCTCACTTTCGACCAGCTGGTGGATATGTCCATCAGGCTGGACACCCTGCTGGCTACCCGCGGACGTCCTGCGGAGGGTCCGTCCATTCCACCCTCCAGCGCCTCCGAGCCTTGTCCTATGGAGCTCGGGGGCGCTGGCGCTAGAGAGAGGAGGAGTCGGCAGGCTAGGGGGTCCATCCACTGCACCAACTGTGGTCGGGGAGGACACACCGCGGCTAGGTGCTGGGGATGGCCTCTTAGGGGAGATGACGACAGGTCCCGCACTGGGGATTCCCTCCAGGTGAGTAGGACGCCCCACTCACCCAGAGCTCTCTGTTGCCCATTTTTGTATGCCTGTACGTTTTCCACAGGTAGCACCTCATTCCCAGCATAAGGCGCTGGTAGATTCAGGCGCGGCTGGGAATTTTATTGATAAAAAGTTTTGTTTAGCGTTAGGGATTCCCCTCATTCCTGTTGATGTTCCTTTTCCCGTTCACGCCCTAGATAGTCGTCCGTTGGGTACGGGCTTAATCAGGGAGGGTCACGGCGCCACTTAGGATGTGTGCGCAGGGGGATCAATCAGGAGATGATTCAGCTGTTCCTGATTGACTCTCCTGCGTATCCGGTGGTGCTGGGCATTGCCCTGGTTGAGTACCCATAACCCAGTGATTTCGTGGCAGGAGAGGGCTCTGATGGAGTGGTCTGCTCAGTGTGTGGGTAGATGTTTGGGCGTTTCCGTAGGGGCTACCTCGGTGGAGAGTCCAAACCAGGTGCCCGCATTGCACGTTCCACCTGAGTATGGGGATTTGGCTATTGCGTTTAGTAAGGCGAGGGCGACGCGGTTGCCACCCCATAGGCAGGGGGATTGTGCGATAAACCTCCAGGCAGGAGCTGCGCTCCCACGGAGCCATGTGTATCCTCTGTCTCAGGAGGAGAAGAAAGCTATGGAGATTTACATAGACGAATCGCTGAGACAAGGATACATACGGCCGTCCACTTCCCCCGCGTCCTCGAGTTTCTTTTTCGTGAAGAAAAAGGATGGTGGTTTGCGCCCATGCATCGATTACCGTGGTCTCAATCAGATTACGGTGAAGTATAGTTATCCACTCCCGCTGATTGCGACCATGACTGAGTCGTTGCATGGGGCGTGTTTCTTCACGAAACTAGATCTCAGGAGCGCGTACAACTTGGTTGCGCATCAGGGAGGGTGATGAATGGAAAACAGCCTTTAGTACCACCTCGGGCCATTACGAGTATCTGGTCATGCCATACGGGTTGATGAACGCTCCATCAGTTTCCATCTTTTGTGGATGAGATCTTCAGGGACATGCAGGGGCAGGGGGTGGTGGTGTACATTGATGACATTCTCGTGTACTCAACCTACCCAGTGTCGAGCATGTGGCCCTGGTGCGCAGGGTGTTTTGGCGGAGGCTGGTGGAGCACGACCTGTATGTGAAGGCAGAGAAGTGTCTGTTTTTTCAGGAGTCGGTCTCCTTTTTGGGTTATTAGTGTCTGCGTCAGGGGTGAAGATGGAGTAGACCGGGTGTCGGCCGTGCGTAATTGGCAAACACCAACCACTGTGAAGGAGGTGCAGCAGTTTTTGGGGTTTGCAAATTACTAAGGAGGTTTATCCGGGGTTTTGGACAGGTGGCAGCTCCCATCACGTCTCTGTTGAAGGGGGGTCCTGTGCGTCTGCAGTGGTCGGCCGAGGCGGACAGGGCGTTTGGGAGGCTGAAGGACCTGTTTACCTCGGCCCCGGTGCTGGCGCATCCGGATCCCTCTTTGCCGTTCCAAGTAGAGGTGGACGCGTCGGAGGCCGGTTTAGGAGCCGTGCTTTCACAACGATCTGGCGCGCCACCTAAACTCCGCCCTGTGCTTTTTATTCTAAGAAGCTCAGTCCGGCGGAGCGGAACTATGACGTAGGGGACAGGGAGCTGTTAGCCGTGGTACAGGCTCTAAAGGTGTGGAGGCACTGGCTTGAGGGGGGCTCAAACACCCTTTCCTCATTTTGACGGACCCACCGTAACTGGAGTACATCCGGGCGGCGAGGAGGCTGAACCCTCGCCAGGCAAGATGGAGTTTGTTCTTGACCAGGTTACTTTTAAGATCACGTACATCCCTGGGTCACAGAATGGCAAGGCAGATGCGCTGTCTCGGCGGTTATGAACGCGGAGGAGAGGTCCGTGGAGCCCACTCCCATAATGCTGAGTCGTGTCTGGTGGCACCGGTAGTGTGGGAGGTCGATGCTGAACTCGAGCGGGGCGTTACTCACCGACCCTAGTCCACCACAGTGCCCGGAGGGTCGGAAGTACGGTTCCGCTCGAGGTTCGGGATCGATTGATCTATTGGGCTCACACGTCACCTCCTCTGGACATCCGGGTATCGGCCGGACAGTGCACTGTCTTAGTGCCAAGTACTGGTGGCACCACGTTGGCTAGGGATGTGAGGGTTTATGTTCCTCCTGCTCGGTGTGCGCCCAGTGTAAGGCGCCTAGACATCTACCTAGGGGTAAGTTGCTACCCCTGCCCCGTTCCACAACGGCCATGGTCCCACCTCTCAGTGGACTTTATAAACAGACCTTCCCCTCTCCCAAGGGAATACTACCATCCTGGTCGTTGTGGACCGGTTCTCTAAGGCCTGTCGTTGTGCTCCCCATGCCGGGTCTTCATACGGCCCTGCAAAACTGCCGAGGCACTGTTTACCCATGTGTTCCGGCACTACGGGGGTACCCGAGGACATTGTGGCTGATCGGGGTCCCCAATTCACCTCCAGAGTCTGGAGAGCGTTTATGGAGCGGTTTGGGGGTCTCGGTGAGCTCACCTCGGGTTACCACCCGGAGAGCAATGGCCAGGTGGAACGCGGTAAACCAGGATGTGGGTAGGTTTTCTCAGAACATACTGCCAGGACCGGCCGGAGGAGTGGTCGAGGTACGTTCCCTGGGGCCGAGATGGCCCAGAATTCCCTACGCCATTCCTCCACTAACCTAACTCCATTTCAATGTGTGTTTAGGTTACCAGCCGGTTCTGGCACCCTGGCAGATCGAGGCTCCTGCGGTGGATGAGTGGGCGCGGCGCTCGGAGGAGACTTGGAACGCTGCACACGTCCCACCTGCAGCGGGCCCTCCGACGTCAGAAGGCGAGCGCTGATCTCCACCGCAGTGAGGCACGGTGTACGCACCTGGTGATCGAGTCTGGCTCTCTACCAGAAACCTGCCCCTCCGCCTGCCCTGTCGGAAACTGGGTCGGCGGTTTGTAGGGCCATTTAAAGTCCTGAGAAGGTTGAACGAGGTATGTTATAGATTACAGCTACCTGTGGAGTATAAGTGTATTAACCCCTCGTTCCATGTGTCCCTTCTCAGGCCGGTGGTAGCGGGGCCCACTCCAAGAAGATGAGATCTTGGAGACTCCTCCGCCCCCGTTGGACATCGAGGGGGCACCGGCGTACTCCGTGAGATCCATCTTGGATTCGAGACGTCGGATGGGGGGTCTCCAGTATCTAGTGGAGTGGGAGGGGTACGGTCCGGAGGAGCGGTGCTGGGTGCCGAGGAGAGACGTGTTGGACCCGTTCGCTCCTGACGGAGTTCCATCGGAGGCATCCGACGCGCCCTGCGCCGCGTCCCCCTGGTCGTCCCCGAGGCCGGAGTCGGCGCACGTCTGGAGCCGCGCGTCAAGGGGGGGGGTACTGTCACGGTTTCGGCCGAGGCTGCCTCTCTCCCTTGTTCGGGCAGGCTTCGGCGTTCGTCGTCTCCGGAATTCTAGCTGCCACCGATAGATGTTTCATGTTCGTTTGCTTTTGTCTGTTTGTTTCCACACCTGTTTCTGTTTTACGTAATTAGTGTCCTATAAGTTTCTCGTTGTGTTTGTCTAGTGTTGTGTATGATTGTTTCGTGTCAGGTGTTTGTGCGTAACCTGTGTTTTCGGTACGCCAGTTCTATTTGCTTCCTCCTCGGTTGAGGAGAGTATTGCGCTCTGTGTTTGTGCGCTCGTGTGTGACGCCTGTGTGCGTCTGTTTGGCCTCAGGCCGCCGTTTGGATTATTTTGCTCAAGTAAAGTCTTGTTGGACTGTACATCTGCTTCTGCGCCTGATTCCACACCACACCATTGCAACACCCGTGACAAGTTTGAGTTAACACGGCTATTGTTCTCCATTTAGAACTAAAGTCTAATCCCTCATTGGGCAATAGCCCCTATAAACTGGCGAAACCCTAGATCCCTCTCTGAGTGTGTGAGCCATTTCTTGCCAGCTAATTAGATGAAAATAGGAACAGTTTCACCAACGTGAGGATTTGCAAAGTACTTAACAATTCCTGCCTCTAAATGTTTATTTAAACACATTTCTCATTGTTTGTCATTGACAACTTTTTCATCTAATTGATCTTGTACACAGTCTATTCTATTAGACCCAGATATTTTATTATAAATGAAGTTACATTCCAATAGAAGAGAAACTCAATATAAATGACTTTATTACATGTCAAGACAATGAGCAGTGGTCATTACCATCAAATAGACCTCAGTCTATAAATCATATAAAAACACATTTTCATTCATCTAATTCATTCATTGACTATGAACATTACAGCAAGGCCAGCTATCAGAAAGTGATTAGATGAAGCAGTAGAGCTCAGCATTTGTAAGGTTGGGTGGAGACAGTGGTGTTCACCATATGGTTAGACATATCATCAGGCATCATTACAGCAGGGTTACAGGCATAATGAGCAGAAGCCATGGCATGTTGGTCAGATGCCATATTCATATGAGCCCCTCCGGCAATGCCAGGGGGCCCTGCCATCATACCAGGTTGCATCTCAGCCATGCTGGAGGACTGTGGGCTGGTCATGACGTAGCTCTGTTGGTTGGGGGACTGTGGGCCGGTCATGACATAGCTCTGTTGGTTGGTCGCGTACGTCACCTTTGAGGTGGTCATGGTTGGAGGCTGCATTTGGAAGGCCACAGGCTGGGTGGTTATGAAAGTGCAGCTCTTCTTGTGCTCTTTGATCTCCCTGGCCATCTGACACCACGAGCACCAGACACAGAAGCAGGATGCCATGATGTCCTCACAGAGGCTTCTCTGTGGACCCACACAGACACACTTGTTTAACACTATCACACACACACAAGTAAACAGAATAACATAATACCCCAATCACAACATTTGTATCTGCAACAATAACATTAATGTAATGGGAAACATTACACCTGAATGCCATATTTGTGGCGTACAGCTACCCGCATGGACAGACTTGCTGGTGGCACAATGATGGGCACCCCAAAGGCAACCATGCAAGCAGGGCCTATGATGTCTAGTAATGGCAGACAAGTACTCTCTCCAAACTCTCCCGTGGTGGAGCAGGCTAAGCAAGGACAGCAACAGAAACCATAGCAACCTGCACACACACAGGCAGACACACCTTATCAACAGAGAGAGCAACAACAATACCAAATCTTAAAGGTGGTGGCAATATTTTAAGACAGAATAGCCTGATTTTAGGGGCGGATGGGATAAGATGTCCCAGGGGAAAACTCACAGGAATTAAAATTCCTGACAGATAAAAAAGGGCCCATTTTTCCCAAAGCCCTTAAAATGCGGGTCCCTTCCCCCGGTTTATTGCTAGGATTTGTGCTCCCCCATGGGGGAAAGACCTCCTAAAGCCCAACATAAAAGGGAAAAAACCCTACACTCCATTAGAGTTTTTTTTCGGGGGGGGAAATCCCCCTTCACCATGTGCTTTCTGATCTCTAATAAAAAAATTTGGCAAAACTTATCCTATACTTTTTGGGGCTAAAACCCGGAAAAACAAAAAAACTGGGTTCCACACCTCTTTTGATTTTCCCCCAAACTTTTTTGGGAAAAAGGTTGCATGAAATTCCCTTTTTTTGAGTTGCCCAAAAACTGAGCCCAATGAGACAAGTTGGGAAAAAACATTTAATTGAAAGATGGGGGTTTGGGTTAAAAATTGTGAAAATTAGTTTTGGTTCTGGGGTTTGTACTTTGACTTTTTCTGGGTTTCGTCATAAACCCAAATGACGGGACCAGATAGGGGGTTCTTTCAAATCTATTTAAATAACCAAAAACCAAAAAAAAGGTAAAAAAAATCTTACAATTATAAAAAAAATCCACATTTTTTGCTGTTCGGGGGGAAATGGTATATTTTAACCTCTGAAAATATTTTTTAAAAATTGTAAAACATGCCTTTGGGAAAAGAAACTTGCTGAAACCCACACTGGGAAATAGGGTTAAATGAGAAAAAATTTATCTTAACCCAAAAACAGTTTTTTAAATGTTTGTGGCCCTCGGGGAAACTAAACGGTTGTGGGGATCAACTAAAACCATTTTTGTTGGAAAAAGCCCCAAAAAATTGCAAATTCACGAAAAAAAAGTCGGGGGGCCCTATTTCCCTAAAACCTTTTTGATTTGGGGCCACTCGGGTTTTAAATTTTAATTTTTTTCAGATTCAGACCAAAACCCTAGTTTCAATCATTTCCAGCGCAAACCCAATGATAACCACAACTGCAAAACATTTTTCATTTGTTTTTTTAAAGGCATTTTTAAATTGTGGGGGGCATTGGACCCGGCCAAATGGGGTGAGGGCCGCACCCCCCTTAAATCCCACTGACGTTAGAAGTTTCAGAAAGAAAGTTTAGGCAAATAACAAAAGGGAAAAAGAAATACTGAAAATTTTTAAATTGAAAAAATTTGGGTATTCATATCACCTTAATCGGGGGTGTGTTTAAAACCCATATTTTTTAGTTTTCAAAACTTGAAACAAGGCTGCTTGCTTTTTAACACTCCAACATATTAAAACCCTTCGACATGGGCTAAAAAAAAATAAGGAACGCTCTCATTTGTTGGTTACCGCGTTTTAAAAAAGAAAAAAAAATTCCCCGGGTAACCATAAAAATGAATGTACAGGGGTGACACAATAGTGGCTTTTACTGAGGGTTCCCATTAAATTTTCCACCTGTAACCCGGAAAAAGAGATGACCGACGTTTTCTGTAAAATAACTAAAAAACCCCTTTCCCCAAATTTCACACCTTACCATTTTTTTACCACATTTATTATCTATTATTTATTTTTTATTAAGAGAAAGACTTTGTCAAACAAACAAAGGGGGGGGAGGGAATACCCTTTTCTTTCCCTTTTCCATACTTTTCAATGCGGGGGGAAAGTAGATTATTTTTATATTTTTTAAAAGGGGAAAATAAGGGGTTTTTTAAAAAAACCACCCGGGGGAGACCAAAAACTTACATGTGCACCCTTTTTCGAAGCTGAAGAAAAGGGCCAAAAGGTGACGTGGCCCTTAATCATGAGCCCCAAAAAATATGACGGGGAATTCAGGGGTAATGCAGCATTTAAAAGGGGGAACTGCAGTGTTTTAACAACATTTTCAAAACCCCCCCAGAAGAATATGACTTAAAAAAAAAAATTTTCTGAAAAGCGTGCACTTGATAGGGAAAATTTTCCCAGGATTTCTAAATTAAATAAAATGTTTTGGGAAATTTAAACAATTATTGAAATTGGGGGAAGGGAAAATGGTAAAAATTCAAATAAAAATTAAAGGGGAAAGGGGCATGTATTTAAAAATTTAATAAAAAGGCAGTAAATAAAACCTAAAAAAACATCGCCCTTGTCCGGGAACCAGAGCCCTACATAGACTAGTGCGCCATACCCAAATTAAAGGCAACAGTGGGCCTTTTAGGGGTAGGGGGCGGGTATCCCAAGAGGGCGTTTTGGGAATACCCCACGGTCGATAAATTTGGGGGCTTTTCCCCACGGGGAACTGGAAAGTTTGAAAGCGACCGGTTGAAGTCGATAAATGACAAACTGGGCAAAAGGGTTTTGGTTTCAGAAATTTAAATTAAAAAAGAGTTAAAGGCGAGTTTTGAAATGAGTAAACAAAAGCGCGAAAGGAAAAGCGATCAAAAAAAAAAGGGGCAGTCACTGGGGGGGGAAAAACTGATTAAAGGAATTAAAAAAGGAAAAAAGTTTTCTGAGAAAACCCCTTACTAGACAAAAAACCTAATCGATGAGAGAAAATCAGTATTTAAAAACGGGAAAATCCGGGAAAAAAGGGAGAAAATTAAAAAAAAACCTTGTAAAGGGGACTTCTTTCTTAAAAAGTGCTTCAACCCACTCGGGGGCTGTCGCCCAAAACCCCAACTCGAACTTTAAAAACCCCGGTTTTGGGACAAAGAGGACAGAGATATGACGCCCAAAACTTGGGCCAAAATATGTTTTTTTTAAAGGGAAATTAAATTTAAAGGGGGTTTAAAAGCCAGTAAAATATTTTGCTGGAAACAAAAATTGGGCCCAAAAAGATCAGTTCCCCCAAAAGGAGTTTTGAGAACGGGCAAAATTCGGTCCCCAATCTTCAAGGAAATAAAAAAAAAGGGGAAGCGTGTTGCTCTTTTTTCGAAAAACTGTTATTGAAAACCCAAAATGTTTCCGCGCACAAAGACTACCCCAGGGCACCCTCAATTTCAATAAATTAGTCGAAAAATAAAACCCCCAAATATAGCCATGGTAGGGTTGAAAATAAAAAACACTTTTATAAAAATTTTCAAAAAGGGGAAAAGACGGAAATTCAAAAAAAGATAAAAAGCAAAAAATAAATTTTTAAAATAAACTAAATTAGAACACAATCCTAAAATCAAAAAATAGGGGGAGAAAAAACCCAAGGGAAAACAAAGCATAAAAAGGCACGCCCTGTGGGTATGGTGGGTTTTTGGGGAGGGAAAGGGTGGGTGCTTTTTGTTTTTTGAATAAGTGGGGCTTTAATTGAGTGAAAAAGGAAAGGGGTTGCATACCCCCAAAACCCAAAACGGGTCTGTGAGCGGGGGTTGGGTGAGAGAGAGTTTTTCCTTTTTTTGTGCAATAGGGTTTAAAATTTTAAAATATATTTTTACAAACATAATTTTTTTTTTTTTGTCCAAATCATGATGGAACGACCCCAACCCTAAAACCGGAAAACCCAAACCTGAGTGCCCATACACCAAAGAGAATTTCCCCCCCTCTTTTTATGGACCTGCTTGATTCCTATGGGCAGCCAAAACAGAAAAAAAAATGGGTCAGAGCCCCCTACTTAAAGCAGAAACCCCCCCCAAAATCAAATTCTGAGCCTGCCTGGCAGGGTTGGTCCCCCAAAGCCAGACCCCCCCTGGGGGAAAGGCAAAATAAACAAGGAAATTTTTTCCCAAAGCGCAAATTTGAAACCTTGGACCCCCCTTGTCCTAGCCGGGGGGGATTGCTTTGTGGTACCCCCCCCCACCCGGGGAGGGCAGTCCCTGGCAACACTGGCTGCAGAAACCCATGGGAGGGGTCACACTCGGCCCAATCAGGGGGGGCTTATTTTTGGGGGCCCAGGGGGCACAAAATAAAAAAGGCTGACTGCACTGAGAGGGTTTGGGGGAAAAAGGGGTTAAAAGGGGGACCAGGGGTTTTTTGGGGTCTCATTTTAAGAGGGTGGACCCTTATCTCCATACCTAGGACTTTTGACATGGGTTAAATTTTAATAAACTCACGTTGTTGTAAATTTTTGCTAAATCGAAATGTTTTCTAAAAACAGCTAAAAATTAAAATCTTTCGTAAATGTAGGGATGTAGTTTCAGTTATAGAGCAGGGCTTTGAAACGCCGGGGTTTTGGGGGTTAAAATTCCCAGGGGGGGGCCAGAATATAAAAAAAAAAATGTACACAAATTTAAAGTTCCCTTTTGGAAAAGAGCGTCGGCTAAATACAAAAAAAATGAAAAAGGTATTTTGGCATTGGGGAAAAAAGGGTCCTTTTTTGGGTTTGGGGGTTCTGGGTGAAACCACCTGTTGACACGATTTTAAGGGTTGATGGTGGGGGAAAAGGGGGTTTTGAGGGGTTTTTTTAGAGTATGTGCTTTGGTTTTTTTTAACCCACATCTTTTGCAAGGGGGGGAAAGGATTTAATAGAAACGGGAAAAAAACCCCAAAAGAATTTTTTTGCTAAAAATAATTGCTTGAAAAAAATTTGTAATACAATGGCAACCGGGGTTAAAGGGGTTTAAAACCCCTATGCATGAACGGTCAACTTTGAAGAAATTTAAATTGATAATGACGGAAAAAAAGAAAATTCAAGATTTTAAATAAAATATATAAAAATTTTTTTTTTTTTTTAATTACCCGGGGGAAATTAGGGGCGAAAAATTGGAGGGTTTACTTTAGTAGCAATGGAAATACAGGTACATTTCAATGGAAAAAACCCGCAATCAATGGTATTTTTTGGGAAAATTTTTTAAAAAACACTATAATGATAAATAAAATTTGGGAAATTTGGTATGCCCTTGGGGGTATATGGTGAATAAGTTCCCCTTTTAAAATTTGTAATTTAGCAGATAAAAAACAAAAAAAAAAAAAATATT